AAAGTTACAAATCTCTTTAAGGCCGTTTCTGCAGAAGAGTGCATTACCTCCTCCAGCATCAGCTCAAAGTCTTCTGGTCCGAGGTGATTTGCTCCAGATTGGATATTCAGAACTATGTTTGGTGCTGGTTCACATTCTAAAAGAAAGAAGACAGAGAGACAGAGGTCAAAGGCAGCATGTTGGAGAAGAAGATCTCTATTGTTTATAACTTCCTCTCAGATTTTTATTTTATCTTATTGTGTGCCCACTTTCTCTGCTCCTCTCTTTCTGTCCTGTTGCCCCAAATCTTCTCTCTCTTCTGACTATCTACATTAATTCGTGCTACCATTTGATATTGCCCTCCCTCTTCTCAAACCCCTCAATATTACCCCCCCTCCCCCGCCTCTGTGCTACGGGCTGTTTCACAAGTGCGGTCTTGACCTTGACAGCTCCCAGTCTGTGGCGTCTAATCTCTTGCTCTGATACACTATCTCTTTACCATGCTAATGGGCCTGCCCACCCGCCTGTATGTGTCTATGCCATCAGCACTTTATCAAAGACTCCGGAGAACAGAGCGAGAGAGAGAGAGAGATTAGGGAGACGTATACACACACATCCTGGTGTATGTGTATGAACAACAGAAAAGTGAGAGTGGGTGAAAGGGAGAGATAATGTGTGGATTTGAAGCGAGAAGAGTGGAGGCAGCGCTAGAGAGAGAGAGAGAGAGAGAGAGGGGTGTGAAGAAGAGTACCACCAATATGGTGAATGCTGATTATAAGTGAGAGGGAGAAAGAGCCTGTCTAAGGGGAAATGAGAGCAATTAGCTGACACACACACACACACACTATAACTACAAAGGTTTTGAACCAGCTATACTTTGGTCATGGACTTCCCAATCATTGCTGTCATCGGTTTCCCCCAGACATGCACACTGACACCACTATTGGGAGCTAACCCCAAACTACTGAAACCTCTAACGATACTGAAATGATGCCTAAAAAAACCTGGAACAAGTGGAAAATCTATGCTGTACTGCACACAGAGACATGTACACAAACATACACATTTATACAATAGCATGCATGGCCGCACACATGAATTTACATTGGCAACAGGTGATGAAGCTGTTGTGATAGCGTGTGTAGCGAGTGTAAGTGTGCATGTACCTGACTTTGGCTTCATGGTGATGTATGTGTGAATGGCGTTCTTTAACTGCTCTGTGTATTTAAGGACACCTGCCAGAGGAACCCTGGTATCGCCGCTGTAGGCCGTCAGCAGAATTGATGGGTAGCACACACACACCTACACACACACACACACACACACACACACACCACAACACACACACACACCACACACACAACACATTAACAGCACACACACACACAACTACCAACACACGGTAAAGTGAATTCGCTACTGCGGGTTGTCCGCGTATCCGTATATGACACACACACACACAGGTAAATCTAGAGTAGTTTTCATTATGGTGCTTAGCAAAAGTTATTAATTATTAATGGTACTTGGTGTCCCCTATTAAATCATTGGGATATGACATTAAACAAGCAGCGCTTCTGGTCCTGTGTTGGACAGATGTCAACCTTCTTGTTTTCAGAGAGAGCCTGAAAGCCACTAATTGAGTCAGTGCAATTCAAACACTGGCTCTGGCTCAAAATATGAACCATGGAAATTTAAAATGGGTTTTCAACATGGTCTGAATTAACTGTCTGTAACCCACTAGAACCTACTAAATTACACTGTAGGGTTAATTAAAGTAGAACTACATGTTAACCTCATAATAAAATCTTAATCACAGTAGAGATACCTGAAAAATCACATCGCAAAATGCATCTCTCACTCAGTAAAAACATTTAAAGTATGCAGCAAACTGAATAAACATTAGTGCAAGTAGTAACAGATGAGGTTGAGATGAGATTAACTAAAGCCACCTGAGGAGTAATGTTGTGAAGGGGACAGTAGGAGGAGACGGTGAGTCTGTGTTTTGGGTTTCCTACTGGGTCTCCCCATTCTTCTCTATCCTCCAAAGTGAGAGGCAGACTGGGATCCTCCATGGTTCCCAACACATCCAGGAAAGGAGCCTAAACACAGGAAAAGAGATGGCTTTGGATGTGTGTGTGCGTGCATATTTTAAGTTATCTCTCATGGTGAGGTGGTGTGGTGCAATGAGTAGGGAGACTGTTCTTCAATTTGTATTTAACTGTTACAAATATTCTTGAGCAAGACGCCCTAATATTCTAGTTCTTTAGACATAAAATAACACTAAAAGCTTCACACTCCAAGACACAAGTACACAAACACACAAATCTCCAATGATTTAACATCTCACCTGCAGTGTGACAGCCCGCATCATGTGTGGGTGTTTGTTGCACAGCGCTCCCACTGGCACAGCCCCAGCACTGCAGGCTGTAAGGGCAGTGAGTGAAGGAGAGGAGACTCCTAAAGAGAAAAGGTGACCGAGACAGGCTTGGAGGTCCTCCACTCCTTTCTGCTTCCCCTCCACACGAGCCTGTCTTTGCCAGGACAGACCACGTTCTCCTCCACCTCTAGGAGGTGGAAACGAAAGAACACAGATTCATTTCAACACTTAGGTTTGAATTCCAGACTTAACTAGCCCTCACAGACATTTTCCGGCTCCACAATATCGACTTGACGTTACCTGATGTGGCAGTAGGCCATAGCCCAGCCCTTCTCCAACAGCAGCCTTTTCTCTGGGCTGAACTCCATGTTCAGATCTCTGCCATAAGCTCCGTATACATGGGCCAGTAGTGGCGCCTGTTTCAAACCCTCCACAGGAACCGTATGAAAGAGGGTTATTGGCACCAAGGTACCATCCTACAGAGGAAAGGCAGAGATACTGTTAACTGATCTTAAAACCAGGTCTAAGACATTTGTTTTGCAAATGTCACCACAGTCACACTTTCCCTTCTATGTTTTAGGTGTATGTGTGTAGATGCGTGTCAGAGTGTGTACTACTAAAGTCTTCTGTGTCTGGTGGCTAGACACTTGAGTCTTCATACAAAATGCTTCCCTCCCTGCTGATACTGTTTCAGTGTGTGCATCCGTCTTATATGTCAAGTGTTCTCACTTGGTTGTAGGCCTCTAAGCGTGTGGTGGTATAGTTTCCCTGGTTCTCTGGGGAGGACCCATCTTTGGTGCCCGATAAAAGCAGCCCATCCTCGGGGTATAGACAGTAGGGCACCGGTGAGTGTACTGGAGATGAGATCAAGAACTCGAACAGCCTGCGTTGGTCGGCCATGTCTGGTTTCTTGGGATTTATGGCACAGGTCCAGGAGGGGAGCTTGGGAGTGTAGAAATATAAGGGTATTAATACATAACAGCAAGTGTATGCATGTTTACTTTATATATGGTGTATATCTTTATGTTCCCAAGTGCAATATGTACTGGCTGTTAAAACTATAAAGCAAAATGGTAAAGAAGCAAGTAACATGCCAGCAGGGAAGTAAGCAAGAGATGCAAGAAGAACAGAAACAAATATTCTAATAGATTTTTCTGTCACACAGACCTGTACAGTGTATGCTTCCTTGGGATGGGTCAGCGAGACCACGATCAGAACGAGTTCACCGGCTGGTGTTCTTGCAACCAATACACAGTGGTCTCCAACCACGTCCATGTCTTTGACTGCAGTGCCGGGGCCAGGGGTAAACAAAGTCACCCAGGAGACCATGGATGGCTCCGAGAGAGGGGCCTGCACCACCTAGTGAGCATACAGAAAGTTAACTCTCCTAACCAACCAAACCTCAGCCTGAGCACAAAGCAGATGTGGAACAGACACCAAAAGGTTACATGTGTGATGTAGGCAGACTATTTTTGTTGGTGTGATTCACCAGATCTCTAGAATACAAAACATATATGTAGGTTTCTCTGGTGATAAGGTACAATTATAACCGTGGGCACTGTTTCCACATTTTGAATTTCTATGAAGTTCATGCACCCTATAAACAATGTGTGTTTCCACATGTAACGTACAAACTCTACCTGATATTCCTGCCCAGGCCCTGTGTTAGCCAGTATAATCAGCCACCTTCTCCAGTGCTCCACATGGTACAGGAGGTCCTGTTGGCGTGGCTGAACCAGGAAAGGCTTTAAATGGGATGTTGTATCAATTAGCAGCACCTCTGAACTGGTCCTGCTGTTGCAGTTGATGGTCAGTATCTGTCGGTTTCTGGAAAGCACAACCTCCACAAACACACTGGGGAGATGTTGGTGTTTTGATTAGAGATGGTGTAAGAGTAGAGACGGCTTAGATGTCACAGCAGTTACACTTACTCAGGATGTGTTTCCTCATACACAGAGGTTATCCTGCTTCCATTGGAGGTCAGGTCCAGACGAAACACTCTGCTGCAGCGTAGATCCTCCAAAGTCGTGTAAAACAGGACCTCGTCTGTAACCCACTCTTCACACATGCAGACAAACATAAACACAAAACACAAACATTTTATTTTAGCCAGTGCACTTTTATCTGTACTGTTACTGAAATACATTTTTATCAGTGCAAACTGTTTAAAATGTACCAAAGCTGAAGACTTTGTCCAGTGTGAACACGAGGTGTGGGGGATCCGGAGAAGGGGAATTGATCTGTCCAAGCCTCACAACCACACACCTGCATTGTCAAAGGACAAATATCCATGTATTAACTGTTACAGTTTTAAATTCAACAGTTACATTTAAAAAAAAAACTTTGCTGCCAAACAAAGGATATTTTGTGTTTGTGTCACCTCAGCTCTTCACTGTGATTAGTTTTTAGTGTGGCAGCAAGATGCTTTTCCTGTGGGGATAGACGTATTCTCTGGACAGTCCAATGAAACCTCGGCTTCCTCTCTTCATTATCAACTCCACTCTTCTCCTCCTGTCCAGAGACTTGTCCTAGATTTAACACCTGCTCTGGCTCACCTACAAACGCGGAGAGAAAACAAGAGTCATTCACAAAAGTGGGAATGCCACTATAATCTAATAATGGACTGCATGAAAAGGTAAAGAAGAAGATGTACAAATAGGATTATATATTATATTGTAATCCCTTTTTCTTTTGGGTTTCTTTAACGTGTTTTTATGGATGAACTATTGGAGCAATGCAATATCGTCATAGGCCACTGTCACGATTTCTGCTTACTCTGTCTCTTGTCCACTCTGTAGATACCATCGCCTTCAACGAAATACACATGGTGATGTCCACAGACCTGTGCGAAGAGAAATCACAGTGAACTGTAAAAAGTATTTGAAATTGCACACCATAAGAGTGAATGTTGGTAAGTTCAATAATATACAAAGTCTTGATGAAATGGTTCAGAGCAAAAGGAAAAACCTTACCGCTGAGTGATCAGGTATGTTGGAGAACTTGTGGTATGTAGCCGTCAGTCTCCTTTTAAAATACCTCTGCAATTCCTTATACCTCTCAAGATGATCAGCTGATGACTTTGAAGTGTCCTGAAATAAAGACACTTAAAGAGTCTACTACAACAATGACAAAATACATCTCTAATAACTAAAGCGGTTTGTATTTTTGCAGTACAAAGGGAGCTTGCTAATTTCTCACTCTAGGCAAATGTAGTTTAACACAGGAGTAAATGGCATGAAACTGACATGTTAAATGTTATTGTTAGCTCTAAATTCACCACAATGATAGTCCCAAATTATTCTCTGTCGACATTACGTGCCTTATGTTCACTCTCTAGGTTGTAAGTTGTCGCTATATACCGTCAATGGTTGTAAGGAGACTGGCAGAGTGGTGTCTTTACATACTTGGACTTAATTTGAGTCTTCAAATAATGATATTCCTATAATGCCTGCACTGTGGAAACAGAAATGCAAACTTAAGGCTGGGTTAATATATCTGTACAGGTGTTTATGTGAAACCTATCCCCGTGTCAGTGCCCTGAGCCTCGTCCAAGGAGCTCCAGTTCAGTGGCTCCGTACAACACTAGTTTTGTCAGCCTGGTGAAGAGACACCGTTTTAAATAATGGATGACTTGTTATCGACCAGATACATTAACAGTCGGTAAACTTACACCGAGCCTGAGGTGAGTAAAGACAGCATAGTTAACGTTAACCGAACACCCTTACCGACGTGTAACACCGTTGGACGGACAGAGAGAGCCATGTTCTCCGTTTACAAACGACGAGCTCCCATAATCGTAACCGGGACGTTGTGAGGAGACGAGCAGACGAGAGGACGGCCATCACCAACGTTTAACGGCTAATCAGCTGAAGTAAGTTAACACACAGGAGCGGTTTGGCTTTTAGCTGCCACTGTTAAGTACTGTCAGTCACCGCGACACGTTTCATAAAGGAAAGCAGCACTGTTACTATTTGTTACTGTTACTTCAACCTGTAATATTTATTGTGTTGTTATTTTAAAAAACATCTGCCGTTGGTCGGCCGTTGGTCGGCCGTTGACAACAACCAGCAAATTCTACGCACGTGCCTAATTTCCTAAACAAAACCCGCTGCGGATGACGTAGGTGCCGCCGCCAGACTAAAGTAATCGAATTCAGACACGAGCGACCGCTTTGGAACTGAAAAATCGAGCACGATTGTTTCGACAATCCATTGTTTTGCCTCGACGGCGAGAAGTGTACGGAAGTAGCGTGCATCTATTGTGGATGTAACAGGTGATTACAGTCGTATCTGTGTCATTTCTGCGTCGGTATAGTTTATAGAAAGCCTTATTTTTGTATAACCACACTGCTACCGATAACTGTGACAGCTCTACAGCCAGTACGTTTGTTTATAGGTTTATTTCCGCCCACAACTTGGAAGATAAAATGGAGAGGGACTCCACCGGCACTGCAGAGGAGATCGAGCCGGCTTCGCCTTTGAGGAAACATATTAATGAAGACACCTGCGCAGCTAATTCCCATAAGGCGAGCTCCCGGGATGTCCCCTGCGGTACTACTGATGTCGCAAAGGCCAGGTGGACTCTGCTGAGACAGGTATAGTCAGCCTCAACCACAAACACAAAGCTCTCACGGGTTTACAGCGTTTTTGCGAACACGCTTTTGAAAATGTGTCGAATATTCAACATAAATGTGTTGTTGACATCTTTAGATTTTGGGTGTCAGTTATAGTCTTTGTCCCTCATAATTGTAGAATAATTAGGGCGATGAGAACATCTTGGAGCAGCCCTGTTTCCTCTCTAATTTAGGCTACAGAGCTATTGTTGACTACACTTTGAAATACAATTATACTATGTAGCTCACATTGTATTTATTCCTAGCCCAAGCTGTGTGAACTGTGGAGGGAGGCAATGTTTCTGAAGCATTTCCCCAATGTCTAGTTTGTATAGACCGTTTTATAATCCAGCAGTTATGACATTATATGTGTTATACCTGTGTCAGTCACAGCGTGATTGCAGTCTGCGTTTTCAGCAGTCTTGATTCATTAGTACTCTGATCTGCTTTGGCAGTCAGTATAACTTCAATCTGTACTTTTATCTAATGTTATCAACAAGTAGTTTTATAACAATGTATTACTCCCAGCAGTTTGTCACCAGTGTGAATCTCTTTCCTCTAGCCACAGAGTCTGGTTGCATGTGCAAGAAGCTTGTTAAAGCAGTAGCTGTAGAAGTAGGGCCTGTAGTTTTTCCCATAGATGGGCATTACACAAAGGTCACCCTTGGCTGACAAGAAAAGCTCCCTGCAGTGGGGTGGGGGCCATCTTGCATTTTTACTACTTCCTCCTGGTGCTGTAATGACCTATATTTGTGTGGACTCCACTAGATAAATACAGCTGACGACTGGTTCCCAGCCTTTTCCTTAAGGGCTTTTCTATTATTGAGTAGACTGACGATCCCTGACTAAGTGACATATTTTGTTTACATGTTCTATCCAATGCATAATAATAACAGTACTGAATAACTGATAAACTGTACATTAAACCCATAGAGTGAAAAAACTGCAGAAAGTTTTAATAATCTAAATCTCGGTTTCATTTAGGTTTCTTCTCAGAAATAAATGCAATTCAGAGATATACTGTTTATTTAAAAAAAAAAAAAAAAGTTTCAAAAAAAGCCTCATGACCCCCCTGTGAAGCTTTGGCGACCCCCAGGGGGTTGGGACCCTGAAGTTGGGAACCAGTGCAGTAGACAGATATATAGCTAAAATTTAACTGTTAACCAGTAACAGTTAAGGATAAAAAGATGCTAATTTATTTTGTACATTATGTTTAACTACAATTAAAGTTTTAAATTTATTCAACTTTCGGTTAAAGAAAACATGTCATTGTTATTGAAATTTTGGACTTTTTAATGTTACATCAAGTGAAGACCAAAACATGTCCATTCAAAATGAAAAAGGTAAATTTGTTGACAATGTCTTTCCACAGGACCTGTTGTGCACAGAAAACTCTCACACTTCCAGAACAGGAAAACATGACTGATTCATTCTGCAGATGCTGACACTTTACAACAAATGAGAAGATTTACCAGTTAAATGTGCTCTTTTGTGGAAATTAAAATTCATTAACTCCCCTTGATTTTCGTTCCTGACTCTCACAGGTGTTACGTCAGAAGCAGATGGAAAGTCCAGAGGTCAAACAGGTGTCTGTTCGCAGGTTTGCTACGTTTGACCTTTTCAGCAGGAAAAGGCTTGTGACACAAGATCCTGGTGATACCTCAGATGAGCAGTGGGTGGAGTACAGAAGTGTCTACTTTCCTGAGTACAGTGCCTTACTCAGGTACACACACTTGAATTGACGCACACAAGGCTCCAGTTTCATGCTGGCACAGATAAAGCACGGTGACAGTGCACCACACAAAGGGACTTTTCATGGTACCACAGCACGTCAGAGTAGTTGGTTAAAAGTATTGAACAAGTTCTGATAATACGGTGTCATGCTTAGCGCTGCACAATATGGTAAAAACATAATATTACGATTATGTTTTACAGATTTTGCTAGATTATTCACGATTACTGTGGCAATGATCACAAATTAAATTTTCCCTGAAAACACTATTGAAGGCACGACGATGTGTTTTTTCGGGTCTGTACCAGAAATCTGGAGAACAAGATTTACAGGCCAGTGCATCTCTGCAGCACTACAGCACTTCATTACAATGCTGTTTTATCACACATTTGGCCTTTATCAAAAGATTATAGCTTCTTCTATTTGCATATTGCTTTTGCAGTTTTCATATTACACATGGCCATATTGCGATTTTAATAATACTTTGATTAATTGTGCAGTCCCAGTCATGCTGCTTTTATCATCAAGGGTGATGGATTACCTAAAAGTATAAAATCTGTGATTTGTTGTGAATCTAGAACAAACCTATAAAACTGGTAGAAATATAGTGATTGAATTGCTGTTGAATAAATGGTTATATGTAACTAAGGTCTTCTTTAAGACAGTTACCACTAAAGTAAGCAAGTACTGTGAATTACAGTAGAATTTGTAGTAGACTGGAGATAAAGGTTGGAAGAAAGTATCTGAAATTTGTTAAACTTGAAACAAAACATAGTTATGAATTTGCAGGAATAATTTAAAAAAATACTTTCAAATGTAACAAATGTTTTACAAATTTAATTAGGCCTTCCTCTTCAACCATACTGTCAACTTTTGGGATTTGTAAACACATGACACGTCAGATGCATACATGCTTAATCCTTTTCCTTTGGAACATTGCCAAAAGTTTAAAATAGTAATTAAGATTCTTTGTCTCAATTCACTGTCTGTAAGAAAAAAGCACAATATAGTTTTCTCCCAGACTGCTGTATAATCCTTTTATATGTTTGTGTCTCTCAGGGATAACCTGGGGCCTCTTAGGGTTAATGAAGTGCTCAACAGTTTCGACAACACCGGTAATGTCTGTAAGTACATACTTTATCTTACTACTTGAAAGCATTGTATTTATGTTGACAGAGTTTGTTTACCTGCACTACTCCCTGGCTTTTATCCCATCCTGACACACACACACACACACACACACACACTACAACTTTGGGTTAGCCTCATGCTGTGGGCTGTTAGTGTTTGATTGATGGTTTGATGGAGGTGGTTTGATTCCATCTCTTTGAATGGGAGTATGTCTCTTGTGTGGCTTCTACAGCGGTTTATCAGGTACTTATTCCTCCCAACTACCTTCAAATGTCCTTTAGAAGGAAAGTGGGTTGCAGTCTTCTTATTGCTTCAGTCGACAGTGATGAGTGGTTTGGGAGAAAGGAAAGAGGATGACTCAAACAGGGATTTGCACAGGCTCTATGATATGGAGTGGAATAGCATCACCTGAAACACAAGAGCCTTGATTTCACCTTCATTCTGTGAACGTTTTGTAAACCATTTAGCTTGAATGAGTTTACTTCTGGTTGAGTTTAATTCAGTTTTACCGTTTACATTCTCTCAGGTTATTGCTTATGCTTTTTAGCAGTCATAGAGGTAAGAGTGAAAACAGCACAATCTGTAATTTTTGGAACAATCCAGCAAAGTAGATTTTTATTAAGAATAAATACAATTATTCTCCTTTAGAAATAGTTCATAGCATACAAACTGTTATTACATGTGTATTTCTTACCAATATATTTGGGTTAATTAGTGACATATATATATATATATATATAATATAATACAACTTTATTGTCAAACATAGTAAACATTTGTCTTTGACTACACCTTGCAACATTAAGACAAATATCATTAGAAAAAACAACAACAATTCTAATACAGTAATAAAAATGGGTAATATAAATATGGGTTCAGCTTCACAGACCTGCTCTACTGACATGAATGTGACCACTTTCAAGTCATTATGTACCTGTGCAGGTCCATCCTCATGGGCATGTGATGGGGTATGACATAGGTCATGGGTTAGTCTTAACCAGCCAGATGGCTCCATAGAAGTCAGGGTCAGAGGTGAATGTCATGGCTGGAGGCTACTTCATTGAGGGTCTTCATTGCTTCATTGCAGACTGGGATCAGACTATACGCGTCATGACACATGCTTGGTGGCAGCTCTCATTCCAATCTGCTATAATGGATAATCCCTTTTCTCACCAAGTAGACAATAGGATCGATACTTTTTTATTTGGAGAGAAAAAGAAGCCGTCATCATGCTTTTGTCTTTTGGCACTCCAGTAGCCCTAACTCTGTTCTTTGTGATATGTAATACCCTCTGTTCTTCTTTCTCTTCTCCTTTAGCATATATACAGTAGTAACTGACCTCCTCCTTTAAACCAGACAACCCCAGACTACTGACGGCATACTCCCTCATCCCTCTTTCTCAATTTACCCCTCTTACCATTTTTCCTTTCTTCCTTCCACCCCTCCATCCCTCTCTCCTCCCAGCTGGAGTCGTTCTTGGCCAGATGGGTAACTGAGTTCCTGACTTGGCCGGTGGATTAGCACAGCCGGAGATGAGAGGATAGAGGAGGGGAGAGGAGAAAAGGGGGAGATAGTGGGTGGGCATGCCAGAGGTGGTGTGTGTGTGTGTGTGTGTGCGAGTGTGTGCGAGTGTGTGTGTGTGTGTGTGTGTAAGGAGTGAAGAGCCACTAGCAAGGGGAACTCGTTCCTCAGACAATGAACCAGCCATCTCCCTCCTGTTCTCCATCCCATGTTTGGGACTAGTAATGCGTGAGATCAATTAGGATTGGTTGAGAGGAGGCTCTGAAAGGCCCAGAGGTGACCCTGTCAGAGCTCTGGGGTATATTTTTGGGGGTGGGAGTCAGAAAGAAACCCTTCCAAATACACAAACACACACACAAACCTTGTTATGCTTGCTCCTCATAAAGACGTACAGCCACACACTTACGTTTGCAAAAACCTACACCGGCTTGGTAATAAACACATGTTCACTTTGGCCACCATCACACCTTCTCCACCGTTCCTGCTAACTTGATAATCCCCCCACCCCTGAGGTGTGGACAAGCCCAAATCCTAGGGGTCCTTGTCCTTCTGAATAGCAGGCTAAAAAGCCTGGCCGGATTAGCCCACTGCCTCCAAAATGTGTGGACTCAGCTTAAAATTGCTGCCCCCTCTCAGCATGACCCTCTCTCCCGGCTATTGTGTTTGTCCCACCACTGTGCACGTATGTGAACAATATGTTGTTTCTTAAGGTGACGATAAGCTGGAGTCAATGGTTGCATTTCAAGACCAGAGGATCAGGGAAGTATTCTCAATGAAGATGTTTTAGGCAGTAGAGAGTGTATCTTAGTGATGACATAATATCACTGAGAAAATGTTGATAACATACTGCTTTAAATATCTGGAATTTAATACACCCTTTATGTTAAAGATTAAAAACCCAAATAAAGATGATATATGGGTCGATGTATAATGGAGAATACTGCTATAATTTACAGCCCATTTGAACAAATGAAGGCTTTAATGACTTTTCTGAGGAACCAAGACAACACCCAAGACTCAAACTGAACCGGGTCCAAAATATACTTAGTCTAATTGTATCAGGTATGGGATTTAATTTCTCTGCCGTGGGTCTCGGATCTGTGTGATTGTCAGTATGTCTAAACCTGAGTGGATCTGAAGGGATCCAAGCCCACTTTATATCAACTCTGATCACAATAAATCAGTAGTTTATGTAGAAAATGGATGATATTCAATTAAAAAGAATACTTTGTATTTTGATTCGTTGATATTGAATTGGTTTGAAAATTATTCTAGCCTGAATACTCCGTCTGTCTGTTGTCCAGTTGGCTACAGAATGTTTTACTGTTGGATCAGGAGGTGAAAATATACTTTTTTATTTTTATAAATTAATCTTTGAAGCACAAACAAATTAGTGATATAGATACTCATCTGTGTTTCCACTTGATGAGGTAGCCAAGTCCAAAGCACCCCCTCTGGTGGTCATCCATAAGTCACTGAACTGCAGTTACATTTAGAACTCGTTATATGATGTCAGTGAATGGTTTGGCCTAATTCAGAGTGGTCTTGATCACTTTAAACTATTCGAACTCTGAACTTCTGACCTTCCTGGTTCTTTAGCTGACAGTGGGGGCTTGTAATTGTAAGAGCTTTGTGCAGGCGTTGTTTGGGGTTTTAGGGGTGCTTGTTTCCTGCTAGGGATCAGGATTGTGGGACACAATACAGGCCCTTGGGGTTGGGTGACTAAGAATGCATCAAATGAGGTGTGTGTGTGTGTGTGTGTTTGAGAGGGCTTAGGTAGAGCTTGTTGACATTGCAGAGCTTTCGGTAAGAGGGCTTGTTGGGCTGTGGGGTTACTTGTTGGGTTCACGTTGCAGGCAGAGGTCACAGTGATAGTCCTGTACACACACACACACACACACACACAAACAAGAATAAATTATCTTTGCTGCTTGTTTTAGTGTTTGGAATCCTCCACTGGAAACCATAGACGCAGTTAAGCTCATAGTAATTTAGAGCAATGCTCTCTCTTATCCTGCGTGTGTGTGTGTGCGTGTGTGCGTGTGTGTGTAATCAAGAGGCAAGCATCCTAATGAAGCCTAATAGAGCCTTTTTCACTACAGCTGCCATTGTATGAATGGCTACTAGCCTTTCAGCCTCTCAGTCATCCCTATTATCTCCCACAGACTTCACCTATCACCCCGCTGGTAAATACTGTAAGCTCACAATGTTTGAGTGTTGTGAGGGAGAGCAGTGTGGAGGGTGGGTGCAGTTAGCTGGTCATTTCTGTGTGTATATTTGTTTGACGTCGTATCGGGACAGTGACTGGAGAATATACATCAGCATAAGTAATATATTCAGTGTCTGAACTAGACACATAACACCCTATCAAATAAGCCAATGATCACCTTGTTTTCAGGTGTGTGTGTGTTTTCCGTATCCATTGGCTCTGTCATACTCCTGTATTTTGTGTTTAATACTAGTGTGTTCTTAATGACTGTGTGTGTGTGCGTGTGCCCGCGCATATGAGCATGTATGTGTGTGTGTGTTGTAATAGGTGCCCCCCGTAGCCTCCCCTTGTGCCAAGCCTTTAGCGGAGCCCTGTTTGCATAATTATGCTAATTCATTGTGCCATAGTGCTAATTAGACCTTGTTAGACAATAGCGCTAGACTGGGAGCTGGCAGGCACACACACACATACACAGACACACACACAGACACATGCTCACTCAGACTGTTGTGTCAATGACAAGGTTTGTGGTCCCCCTCTGCGCTGTTTATAACATGCTCTCTATAGAAATGGTTCTCTACTAGTGTGCTCTGGACTGAGCTCAGGTGTCTCTCACGATTTTGATTTAAGCTAATGGAACAAAAATCAATGTGAAACAAGAATTCTCCACAAGCTTCCTCAGAATCTAATAAAATTGGCCCATATTCTCTTTCTCTTTTATTCCTCAGAGCTGGTGTTAATTGCTCCTTTGCCAGCAATTTATTATATTTTTCTGAACTCCACTTATGTCATCATTTTACATTGTGACAATAACCAATAATACACACTTCAATTTACTTTCAGTTGACCATGTGATTTGATCATGAGGCAGTCCAGGACCTTTTTATCATTTCAGATGGAAGGATCTTGTTTTCCAAAATGGGTGTATGGCATTTTGAAGGACTTTGTAATGGAATTAAATTTCACATACTACTCTTGACACTATTAGAAAAAACAATAAAGACATTTTAACTTATTTCTAACTTACCTATTCAAGAAGTATTTAAGAAACTACCGTATGCGTCAGAAGAGATTAAATAGATGGGTTAGGTTGCTGGAGAAATAAGCAGAACTACGTACAGGAGATTGTGTTAAAAGGACAAAAACATCAGTTGTGCAGCTATAGATTAGTTTTACACTAAAGTGTTTTGCCTGTCAGCCACTTGAGTAATTAGATCCAAATCTGTATATTGAGCAGTATGACTTTTTGAGCTGCAGTGTTTT